CGGCAATGACAATACACTACTGTATACAACGGAGAACGAGGTTACGGCTTCCAACAAACCTATGTAAATGCCTTTCCTGTTTCCGGAGAGAAGGGGTCGTATAGTGAATATGTATCAGATTTTTGTGAACAATCCCCATAAAGAAAGAAGAAATAAAGAAGTTGTTTGTTTGTTTTTTCAGGAAAAAACGTTAGCCTGTTCGAAGGCATATTTAACATTCCAGAATGGACTTTGCACGAGACAATTTTCATGGGAGTTCCCTTAAAGCGTGTTCTCACTGCTTGCTACTAGTGATTTTCCGGACAATTACATATCGGCTTGTGTGATGTAAGCAGTAAATCCAAGTGGAAAATAAAAATTGCCTTTGATTTAGGTTAAAAGCATTTAAACAACTTTACTGTCTGTAGAAGACATAGTATGAGTAAAGTGACGACAATAGTGAGTCCTCCGATTCCTATTTTTATCAGCTTTCACATCCTTACGTGACAAGGAATATTTATCGAGTCCATAAAAAGGGGGTTACCCATAGAGTACTGTTACGGTGTTCATGTAAGACACTCAATACACGTAAATTATAATTAATTAAACCTTTGAGCCTTTAACTTGTGTCACCTTTCACAAAATAAACATGCTTAATTATTTTAGATTATTTTTTTAAATTTATATTAGGACAAATTATGTCAATTTGATTTAAAGGTTATCAAAAAGTTATAGAAATATACATAATATCAGACAAACTGTCGCAACAATTTGGGCTGGACAACATATTGCGCTCCAATGGTTGAACAATGTAACTTTGATGTCACGAATTCAAATTTTACGCTTTGCTTCCCGCACATTTTAGGCCATTTGTGACGGGAAACAATCACCGAAATGAAGTTCTCTAAAATACATAATCCGTCAAAAAAACCACTCTGTCATGTCACAATAACGGCAACCAACACGAGGTACTGTATGAGTGCATACTTTGAGGTATCCTCGTAATAACCTTATTATTATACATCTTTTCCTTCTGAGGATACATTATGGGAATGCCGAAATCCAAAATGTTTAGAACAGAATCAGCAAACTTCTTTGTGCGGATTAAACCCTGGTGGCAGCCATGTTTGTTTTTATTATTAGAGGGCGCTTACGCGCGTAATCATTCCATATTTGGAATTCGCATTTCCTTATATGGTAGGGTAAAAAATATCCTGTAAAATACCGCAAAATTGGGCACGCTTAAACATATGGCGTTAAGTGACAGATGTATAATAGGAGAAAGTATGCGACGCTAAACATGAATATATTATCGAGCAAATATGTCAGTGAGTCAAGACATGCTCCTGAATCGACAATATGTATTATCGTCAAAATAATTAATACGTAACTTTTCAATTGTTTAATTCCCCATACGTCATGACAACGTTGACACAAAACACTTAGGCACTCATATTTTGACACTACATTAATCTCTCCTGATAATTCGGATTTAATTATTTTTATTTTATTTTGTCATTGCTGTCAGTTGCCGTAAAAGCAAGTTCACGTGGTCACATTAATATTTTTAGACAAATGTGACGCAAGATGTCCGTCCTGGTGACGGTGACGTCAGATTAAATTGGACACATTTTTTGTTTAAATCTGTCACCACATTAATCTACAGATTACATCATGTTATCATTGACCATTTTCCATAACGACGATGTGTCTATCAACTTGAGTCTCAATTAGCAAGATGATTGAGTAATATACTGCATCTTTCTTCAAAGTCAATCACTGGAAAACAGTATTTTTGTTTAATAATGGACAACCGTAGGGTCAAAAACGTATCAACTCCATTAAAGACCGTGTTATAATTTACACCCATTACGTCACATAAGCGCTTCGTCGCCAGAGGGCCATGCCGGTAGATTTATGATGAACGTGCAGCATCGTACGATTGTACATATATTTAGTATGAATTAACCATGAAGTGGTGTATTTCCTTGTGACCTCGGGCAATACGCGCACACGATACAGCATACGGTATTTGTGATTTATATTGTTATACGACAGACACACTTGTATATGAGCAACAAGTTATCCTATAAGCATACAACATTCGTGTTGACAGAAAACCGATTATTAGAATACGTCATCTGTTTGTAGATTTGTTCGTTGTTGATTTATGTCACACACGTACACTGGATTTCTTTGATTTTAAGTGCAACGATTTGCTCTTTTTTCAGGATTTTGCAGTACTGCAATCCCACATTTACCAGTATTTCATAGCATATAACGCAAATCGCTACAAACGAGGAGGGAAGAATGTCGGAGTTGTTAACTACTCTGACAAAACAAATCACGTGATACTTAAGCCCGGAAAAGGGTCGGTTATGACGTAAATGTGCAATGATAACATTATAGGATGATTCAATGAGCACGGCATTGCCAAGTAAGATAAATAACAGATACTATTTCTGCTCCCGCGCGCTTTTCTGAAATCCCCTCTAGATATGTCTGCGTGATAGCCACATATGTCATCTTTCGGTTTGTTTGATATCGGAACAAGCTATCAGCATAGGTATCAACTTTCCGTAAAATTTGCTAGCTATATAATTTGACGATTTGACGGATCGTGAAATGCATAGTACGTCTGTACATTTGGAATTATTTGAACGGGTTACTTTGAAGCCGATAACAGCGATGTCTCCAAGCACGCCGTATATTACACAATGATTGGGAAATAAATAACAGTGATATAGATTGTACATTCTTTTTGCAGGTCGTGGCGTGACGCGTTTTCTCGAAGATTGGTTTATTTACACCGTATGAAAATGTATTGTCACTGTTGGGGGTCGTGCTGGCGGATTCACTGACCTTGATTTTTATTTATTTTCAAGTTTATAACAATTCTTCCTCGTATTTTCTCTCTTTCACTTGAAGCAGGTAATCTCTATGTACAGTCCATGATATATTTTATATATAAAAACTGCGGAACAATATCTAAATGAGACGTTTTTTCTGGTGCAGTTAGTCATTTTTTTTTTCTTCGCCAATTTTGTATGTCGCCTAATTTTCAGACAAAGAGATTGACTACTTATAAAATCAGTCCACGGTCATTATGCCCACGTGTGTCACTGAATATATGTGAAATTGGTTGTCTCAAAATAGCGACTTGACTGTTTTGTGACCTGAAATGATTTGTTAAGGGTAATTATGGGTTGATCTGCTCCAATTACTGTTCGTCTTCTCCGATTGTTTGTATTTAACACAGTTGTATGCATATTTGTTTAAATCAGAATTGCGTGCCCTTATTTTGTCTTTTTCGATCGATAAATATTATTTTTTCTGTTAAGATTTAATTTTCCGTTTCAATATTCGTATCCCTTCCCAAAACGTGAGAAATACATCTCACTACTCGTGTGTTGTTCAGCAGTGATTGTATGAGTTTGATTTAATAGGAACACGGAAGAAAGTTTTGCGCACATAAAAACAAATATTTAGTTAGATTGACACCGTATTACACCCAACTCCTTATCATAACGCCGATGAGCGAGTCGTGACGGCGACCCATGGTGTCTATTTCTAATAATCTAAGCGTGAAATTGATCATATTCATTCACCCGTCTCGGTGTAATGTATACCTTAAATAGATATATATAGTTAACGCCAAGGTTATCTTTTTCGCGATCTGGAAAATGACGATAACGAGGCTGTTGATATACGTGTAACACGTCTCCGAAATATGTTCAACAAATTACACGTTTAGTAGTGTAAGAATCACACTGATATTTTGCCGATAAGGAAACAGAATACGACTTCATCAAGCAATGGGTGTGAATCTTGTTGATATTGAGCTGATATGCCTGGATATTAAATTGCAATGAAACACAAGCCTCGTTCACATTTTATGGCAGGTAGTGGGCAGCTAACATATTGCTTTGTTCTAATTTGTTCTGATAAAACGTCGAGCTGATTAGAAATGTCACTCAATGATTCAACATCGATGAGTAGTCGAAACATATCAATTATTGAACAACAAAAAGTGTACTATATTCATGTTCGGCTTAGTAAAACCAACATAGAGACAGTATATCTTCAGGATCGGCACTAATGATATGAGTCACTGAAAAGACTCACGTGATACCAGGATCTGATAAAACCTCGCATATTGCTTGTTCTTGTCACATCTTTGGGAAAACTAGATGTTACATAAGTTTATCTACGATCGAATGTCCCTTCTTAATTGATGTGAAATAATTTGGCGTCATGTTGTACAAATCAATATTGCGTAGTAAGACTGTCTGAAAAACAACACTGTGGGAAAACAGCGAGATATATTGTCGATAAATGTAACTAAAGATGCATATACATATATGCTGTTACTGTATTTTGATAAATGCATTAGATTACGATTTATTGTGACTCGCGATAAACCAAAACTACTGTTCCTGCAGAACACAACTGAGCATGCGTACGATGGCACAATAAAATTCTCTACTGCGTATCATCACAAATACATAGTATAGTTTTTTTCCATTTTTCAACGAATGAATACAATTCAGTGTACTGCAAAAGTATCATTATTTGTTTAGTATTAAGCATAATCTAATTTGAACAACAACGTGCAGTGTCAACCAACGATGTTGAAAAATATATTTTTTTCTGATGTGAACGTAGTTTTCACACGAGCAATGATTCACCCAACAACCTGTGCCCCGTTCGGAGTATAACGAGTGTTCCGGGCAACCGATTAACAATCCTCAAATCCGATTATAGGCAAAGTGAAATTAATTCCCGACTTCGTGCCTGGAGTTTTAACACATGTAAATATTTTGAAACCTGTTCACTATTCCACATAAAAACGCGTACACCAACCATGTCAACCATGTATTCTGAATGCATAATCAATCCTACGGTCACTTAATTGAATGACCATGCATATCCTGTTCGTTCTGTTCGCGCGTGGCGTTAGGCAAACTGATGGAGGACTATTACGTGTGTTGACAAGCGAAACGACCTCAGAGAGAACCCACCTTCACCAAATTCTCCATCATCTGGCAAGTACATGGCAATCATGGCTACCACTTACTATAAAATGAATTGATTGAAGCAATATGCTAAAATTTCTCTCTCTTAAAAGGAACGTAATTTCGATCTTACAATTTTCGCGTATCCTTGTCTCGCCGCGTAAAATTTTACTTTTTAATTTTACATTCAAATGATTATTCTGTATTATTATCATTCAAGTGAATTTATTTCCTGGTGTTCAATAACAGTTGACTTCCCATGAGTATCGTATGGCGTCAACGGCATTCCACAACCTCAAAAGTAATTGGTCGTTCGGTTCATTTTGTGTTTGTTGGCCGATAAGCACTACCCCGAGAATGGAAATATAATTTTAGTATCCTTTCATTCGTGCCAGACAATTCAAAATCTTAAATATGACAAATTTATTGTTATTACCTTTAAGTCCTTCAATGCATTCCGGGCAATTGTTTACAACATGAAAACGTCATTTAGACAAAGAAATAAAGCCTAGTTCATTGTTGACAAATTCGCTTTCGGCAAAAATAGACAATTTTGCTCTAATAGTATGCTGTTCATATGATGATAGAAAATGCAGTTTGTTGGGCGATGCTGGCGTGCAAAGAATTTTTGAGGTTTTTAGTAACAAGTAGACAGAAGTGATAAAGTTGAATTGTTTTTGTAATGTCGTTTTCATCGAAACGATTGGCATTTTGTCTAGTCCTAAAACGAATAGCTCAACCTGACTGAATAACATATTATTTGAAAAACCTAGTAAATATTATTCTGGATTTAACGGTGAAAATTTGAAAAACTTATGCATACCAATTCTGATGAAAAATAGTATGTTCATTTTGAAGACTCATAACTGTCAGAATATTCTACATAGGTTGTCTGCTTATGAAATAAAAACCATACGAATAGAGTGACAGCGCAAAGTGTGAACAAACTATATAAATGCCGCACGCTAGTGTGGCCTGGCGTTATCCATGACAGTCACACACGTTGGACATATACAATTTACAATTATAACCAATTTTTCCGGTTACTGTTTTTTATCATAATATATACACAGTATATATCCATAAATATATATCCATAAAAAAACAATATATTGAAAAAGTTGAACAACGAGAGCTGTTTGGAAACAGTTGTTTGTGTTCATACACATTTGATATCAAACTGTTCTCAATGTCATTCAAAATGGCGCGAAAATGAGTGTTGGAAAATCGAGATATCTGCATCAATCAACAAGAAAGAAGGTAAATAATGAACCATAAAGATGCAATTTGTTCTCATACGTTTGTGGAATAACAACATACACATAATATCGTGATTCAGTGCGTGTAACTATCTGCGTAATCGAAGTAACGACCTCCCTGTAAATAAGAAATGTAACGACAACATATAACCAAACGATAACGAATTATTTTGCGAAATTATCGATTTAAATATCCATTTTGACAAATCGTTCAGGCGATACATATTGTTAAATGTATACAGAATGTTGGGAAGGTATTTAAAATGAACAAAAGTGAGTATAAAAAAAAACGAAAACAAAACAGGTTGTAAATCCCGTATTCGGCGTCAGTACCTGTGATTTCGCTGAGTACGCGCTGAAATTGAAATTGATTAGAAGTCTGTGTGTGTGGGCAGCTAACCAGTACTGCCGAAGGAAATGATCGAATCAAGCGTATTGAAAATTGTATTATCGTTTAGTACTCTTACGCAAAGCACGACTACTTGTCTAACTGCTAACATTTACTTCAAAATTAGACGGCGTTGATCGCAATGTGTGGGTGATTTTACAAAGAATACACCATCTGCTATGATGATGGTCGATTCTATTGCACATTTGCTGCTTTGATATATCGCGATGTGTTTTATCCGAAAAAATAATTCTCAATTAAGCATCGAAAAATGAGTACACTGGGGAATTGTAATTATCATGGCGTTGCGATTTGCTCATAGACACTTTAACGATGTCGTTTACTTCTTATTATGTAATTATGTGTGTGCCTGCAAGACACAGATTCAGATATTAATGAGCGAAACAATGTTATTACCACCTTGCCTGCAGTGGATCTATACTTAGAATGATTGCGATTAGAGCGCTTTTAAACATTATCTTTCACATTTTCTCAGACATAGTATGTACCTGTTTTTCCGTCTGAAAATATAATCTGCCTCTTTCTGTTAATGGCCTCTCCCTTGGCGATCTCATTTAGGTTATCCATACTAGTGTGTCCGTGTATACGACCGTACTTTTGTTGAGTTCCCGCGTTTTCATATCAACTATTCTTATTATCTTTGATTTGACCCCGCTCCACGGTTTCCTCTTTTCTCTCCCAACATCAGAGTAGATGTACCATGTGCATTGTCACTGTATTTGAGACATCACTTTCGATCATTAACACTTACAAGGTGCCTGGATTCGAACTATCCGGAATCAGGTGCACGTAATTAAATTTATTGTACAAACATGAACCATTCCTTTCTCTCACTATTAGTGTGTAACTTCTAATTTGAGAAGCGGGAGAACAGCAGATGTTATCATCAAACGATCGCACTCAGTGGCACTCTTGTAATAACCAGTAAATTTTACACCCCTGTGAAACCAAATTCGCATCTGTTTACCGCCGTAAAAAGAACACTATTAAATCATAAAAATCTCTTGTGAAACGGTGATTTGTGTAAGTGCCATTTGCGTTAATGTTTAGAATCATGACTGCACAGTTATTTTTTTACGGGATCGCCTTGGTAACCGGTGGATGTCTGGTGTGACTTTATTTGGTTGTATGATGTAATAAAAACGAGTAGTGGTCGTTTTGTCTGGCGACATAACCAAAGTTCACGCTCGACCTCATCAGTCCCAGGATCGAGCGTGAACCCCGTGTCGCGTATTTTGCCCTCTAAAGACGGCGAAAAATATAGTATATTGATATAATATTCTAATCAATGTTTCATGAAAGGATGCTAATTTGAACCTAATTAACTATATAATTAATGCCCACACACGAATTGACGATACGGATAATACGTGAGTGTTCTTCACACTTGAGCTTAACATAATAGATTCCGTGTTCCGTAAATCATTAGGCGTTCAGTTCACGGTTATTCTAATTTTCTCTTTCTTAGTATAGATCTCATTAATACAATGCTGACAATGATCGCTCATTTTGATACTATTATTAACTATCAAATTATATTCAAGTCGTGACTTTTCTGCACATATTGATATACTTGTTGGAACATACGGCATTGAACGTGAGCACATTCTCAAAGCCTCGACTGGTAGTGTTGGTGGCGTGCTTGAAGAATACCGAAACAATGATTCAGGCGTACTCAGTCGGTACATGGCTAAGTCACACAAAATGCGAATGCTTTATAGTCATGAGTTGATAGCGCCATCACACGACCTAATGTATTATGATAACAAAAGCTATTTAAAGAGGGCGGTCGACATTTTTGTATTTTGCAAGGGCGTGCAGGAAGATATTCGTTGGCATTATGCAAGCTTGTCTCACTAGACACCTTTCATGTAAGACAAACGTACCGACGTGACGTCACTATGACGTCGACAGGTGTTTTCAAATATGTTTGACTGTAGTCACTCGTCATTTCTAATATGAAATCTGCAAAAACATGCGTACATCGTCGACGTGTTTAATAAGCTATATCTATTATTGCCACAAGGAGGGAGGTACGGATGGGGTAGTCAGAATTATACCACATCAAAATATAAACTAAAACTAAATAATTTCACCAGTGTCACAGACATGATACCAAAAAGGATAAAAGTAGTTCCCCTAAGTACCCATCAAACGTATCTAAACCAATTTTAGAATTAATAGAATTGCTTACACTGAGACTCGTTTTCGACATTACATACATGCAAACCCAACACTGGAAATGAATGAAGGTAGCTCACTGATTCATTGTGAAGTTTGATGTACGAATTACAAGATTATGAGAGTACATGTTAATGACGTGGAACAACAGACTCGTTTAGTATGTATTACGTATTCAGAACTACGTGACTCGCATTACAAACAATAAATCAACGTCCACCATACCAACTTCAAGGATACTCAGATCAGGTCGTTCACTGCGAAATTTTAGCCATTAATCAGGCTCTCACACGTAGGAATCAACCGACTGCCAATCATTCACCGTGCCTATATAACAATACTGTTATATTCATGACGCAAGTGTTCTAAACGTCATTTCTAAAATGCCGAGGCATTTTCAACCAAGAATTTTAATTTATAACATAGGCCTACAGGATTGACAGGAATACCCGAGATGAACACTTGCGATTGGGCAATGAACTTCAGCATTCCAACCTGGCTGGGCCGTTTCAACCAATCAGACAGCACGATGCATGACACATTTCTCTGTATACATTGTATTGATGGAAAGAGTTTCCTTATAGCATGGGTCGTCAAGACAGGACTACCACCAGAAGAACAAACGCGATTGGGTAATGAACTGCAATGTTTTATCAATATTGGTAATGGGTGATTTTTGTTCAGTGAGATATATTGCATACTGCGTAAAATGCGCGGACCGAACGTTTGCCGGAAAATTGAATAATTTGATTATTAAGTTATTTTTATAGCTCAATATCGAAATGGCGATCTTTTAGAAAGAATATGGGATTGAGATATTCTTACTTCGTAGAAATTAACCATCATCAAATGATATAACACATTTTTGAGCCCGGAAAAACTGCCTATATATTTTCGTGCTTGACGAATTTCAGGCGACGTTCGAACGCCAATAACATCTTATTTCAATGAATCTTGGTTCACAAATACTCTGAGACAATGCGACGATCTAATTAGTTTTGGGTTTATATACATTTATAATAATTACGTAATTTAGCTATTGGCTTCCCACCAATTAATCATCACATTATAATAAAACTTGGTACATATATGCCCGCAAAAATTAACAGACCTAATTAGTTTTGGATTGAAATCTATGCATATTAGTTGCTTATTTTGCATAATAATTTCAAGATTCCAATTTTCTACTATATCTCAAAT